TCGTTTTTCTTTTTAAATTCAAAGTGTCAGCAGAGTTAAAACATCAACTCTCATTGTCATATAAACAATGGCTCCCAAACATAGGGGATGGTCTGTTTCAGAATTCTTTTCATTAAATGGTTATCTAGTTTGGAAATGAAAGATAAGAGTAGGGAAAGAAAATCAAGAGTTGTTCAGTAGTGTCGCTTATAGCCATTTGGCCTGTACGTGAAACATTCAGCCAACAAGAGCGCTCACTCAGTGACAGGGCACTTATTTTACTTTTCTATTTATTGTGAAGTTAGCACAGTTGTTTTGCATACCGCACCTGTGCAGGAATGCAACACATTCAGATACCCTTCACTTTCAGTAGGCTTCTTTTTCAGTTGACCTTTGGAAAAATAAGTTATTTGAAGTGGTGATTGTAATGTCTCATTAAAATGTTAAAATTACTGTATTGTCAAGCAACTCAGAATTTTTCTTGGTCCACAATGTAATTGAATAATAGTAGCAACCGAAACCCTAAGTGCTCATAAAGTTGTCTTAATCTTGAATCATGAGGGGCAGATCTTTAGGTGGAGAGAGAGGAGTTAAATTGGGCTAGGTGTACAGACACAAGAAAAGGAACTTCCACAAGAAAGGCTGTCAGAGACCTGTAGGTGGTAGGAGCTCCCAAAGAAGGGATGGGCTCTGGTGACAGCTGAGAGGGGTAATGGGAGGAATTCCCCACTGTGGGTCTTGGTAACATGTTAGGATCCCTAAGGCAGTTACTTCCAAAGTTGAGTTTGCACAGGGATTGGGGGTGGGAAGTTAGAGAACTTGTGGCCCCCAACAGAGAAAGCATAGTAATTATCCTAATGTCCAGGTGTGGAAATTATGGGCAGGAATCATTACATCCAGAGACAGGCAATTTCTTGGATTCCCCCTTCACCACCACTGCCTCTCTCTCAATCAGTTTCTCTCTCTCCCTCTCTCCTTACCCCCCTCCCCACACCCCGAACACCTGCTCCCAATTTTGGAATAAGTATAGCTCCTCATGATGACTTTTTGAAAGAAACAGTGTTCACTTGAGTGTGTAAATTCTGACAAGTTTGTTAGTGTAATTTCTATATTAGTCACATTGAATGAATGCAAATGTTAGTTGTATTTTTGATTGATTTTATTCAGAGCGCTCAACCGTGGCAAGAAGCCCTGAGTCAGGTGTACTATGCACAGTTGGTATTTAGTTGTAGAGGTAACGTAATATAACTATGACGTGATACTTGTGAGGTGATGAAAGTCAAAGATACTACTCTTGGGATGTGGCCTTTCGCAGAGAAGCCCTAAAAGAACGTTTACTGCTTTGATACGTGTTATAGGATTTTTAAAGTTTGAAAGTTAACAATCAAGAGTTTGTTTGAAGATGCTTTTATGGTTTCATTATTGCTACTGACTTCAAATATGGCCATATTTATTTACCAAAGTGTTTTAATTCCTTTTTAAATACAAAAGAGCCATTGAAAATGTCTGGGTGGAATTTCACAAAAACAAGGAATTCTTCAGACAAGGCACGAGTCCAAGCCTTAATCCAGTCTGGCCTCGGATACCAGTCCTCAGATGTTCCTTTATCAGAGTCAGTAACAATGGGCAGTTATTCACTGTAAATAAACTAGAGCCTAAGTGAGTGAGGGGAGTGAGAAAAATATCAAGCTATACAGTCGCTTTGGAGAGGCTCTAATTATACTAAAGCCAGTATTTCCTGTAATTTTGTAACATACTTTTATGTTTAACTCCTTGGCTCTATCTGTAGTCATGAATCTTATTACCTGATATCTATCTGTGGTCATGAATCTTGTTACCTGATATCCTATGGGAAAAGAAAATCCAACCCTTTGACATCAGTTAATTCTCGTTCTACCTCATCTTAGTTCCTAAGAACTTTGGTTCTGGTCCTATGTGTGGAACTAGACTTGTAAGAGCAGATGGTCCCAGGCTAAGAAATTTATGGTCTCTTCAGTTGGGGAGCTCAGTAGCTTCTTTGATATACAACAAAGTCAAAGAATTTTAAATGAATTATAAAGCTATCTTCAGTGACCTTTTTAATCATTCAGTGGCTAGAGGAAAGGATATTCCAAATTATTCATAGCCAAAACATCCCTGAAAGGGTATAGTTTGGGGGACAGTTCAGAGCAGTGACCCAACATGTCAAATTCCCTAACAACAAATTCCAAGGAACTTGTCTCTATGAGCCTTTGTTGGAATTTAATTATATGTTGACCTGTGACACCAGTTTGAACATCTTTTTGATCTGCAAATGTGCTTGGTTGTAATGGGAATTCAAATAGAAAGTCGATCTTAACCTTTTGATGCATTCCTTCATTATGAATTACATCTGCTTACCAGTGAAATATTCTACAGAATGGGAGAGACGTGAGTGAAAGAATTGATATAACATGTAGTAGTTTAAATTTTTAGCCTGAGAATATTACATTAACTTTTGTCATGTTCATTGCTCATTATGGCTGACACTTGGAGCTACCAACTAACCTTCTGGGTTCCCAAATACCCCTGGTCTGATTTGTAAGTACACTTGTAACCATAAGATTGTAAGCACTCACTAGAGAAGATTTACACACAACGGGAAGCTCACATCTCATTGAGTGAGAACATTTCCAGAAAATCTGTTTTGTGGCTTTTTTTTTTTTAAGTTTCTCTTTTATGTGGAAAGGTGATAGAAGTCTTTATTTATTTGGAGAACTTGGTATAAGTAAACAAAATGGAATCTTATGCAGTGACAACTTCATCTTCCTGATTGGCAAGAACACACTGACTTTAAGACACTCTTTCATTTGCTTCCGTTTGCTTCCGTTTTCATGGTTCATTTCCAGCCAACACAGCATTTCTGAAATGCCAGCATTTGTTTTGTGTTTTCTGGCCTTGTATCTAAGCAAACTAAACTTAGATGGGTGCCAACAAGGTAATGCCATGCTTTTCTGAAATTCCAGAGATCAGTTCTTTAAATGAAATTGGAGATAGTGGAGTTGGTTTGCTGTTTGATCCAAAATTTGGTCTCCTTTCTGGACCAATTGCTTTCTCATGGAAAAAAACTATTCTATGACCAGCAAACAGGTACCAGGGTCTAATATATTACTGGAATTAATGGATAAGAAAGAGTAAGTAGTGCAGTGCATCATGATCAATGTGATTAGAAAAGTAGCTCAGAGCAAAATTCTTTTTGGTGTCTTAAATGAGTGATGTGATTTGGACCTGTATGGCTGGGACAGAAACTATTTATCTGATTTCATTCTGCTTCTTAAAAGCTAGAGGGCCTTTGGCAATAGAGTACAGGCTGCCCTCTTGAAGGGAAGTGTGTGCAAGAGAATAAAATACTTGCAGGAGACAAAGTTTAATCCTTCATAAAACTTGAAGAGAGTGTGACAAATAAGAGGATGTCTTGTATAGAGTCAGCCTTCAGTTAAATATTCATTGAATATTTGAGCAGAACTGGACCCTTCATCCTTCATGAAGGATGAAGAGTTATTTTTAATTTTCTAGCAACCTTGAGATCACAAGATAGGAGAGAGGAACTTCATTCTTGAGTGGAGAGGGAAGTAATGAGAATCTTTGCTGACAGTTGTGATATGCCTTTCTCTCCTTGTTCTGTGGGAGTCATGGGGAAACCTCAAAGAAGAAAGCCTGTTGACAACTTAAACTGGAAAGCAAGAGCTGATTTTTTTTTTTTTTTTTTAGCGGTTCGCGGGCCTCTCACTGTTGTGGCCTCTCCCGTTGCGGAGCACAGGCTCTGGACGCACAGGCTCAGTGGCCATGCCTCACGGGCCCAGCCGCTCCGCGGCATGTGGGATCTTCCCGGACTGGGGCACGAACCCATGTCCCCTGCGTCGGCAGGCGGACTCTCAACCGCTGCGCCACCAGGGAAGCTCCAAGGGCTGATTTTAATTTGGTCTTTTTCTCCACATAAACATCACAATTTACAGTGCTCTATTAAACTCAGTGGGTTTTTTTTTTTTTTCAACATTAAATAAGATATCTGGAGAGGGATTCTTCTGTTTCCCTCACCCTGAGAGCAGTTGTTTCATTGAATACCTTCTAATTACCTGACTAGTCAGACGTGTTTGTCCACTGGGAAGGGAAGCATGTATTGAATACCTACTTTGGGTTCATTTAGTCAACAAAAATATATTGAGCATCTAGTAAGTGAGAGGCACTGAAACTACAAAGAATAAAACAGACATAGTCCCTACCCTCACAATGCTGAAAATCTAGTCAAAGGGAACGAGTAAGTAAGCAATTACAATATGTGTAAGTGCCATGACAGAAATAAAGATCGTTTAAGAGCACATAGGAGGGGCACTGAACCAGACTTGGGAGGTCAGAGAAGCCTGACTTGAAGGAAGAGGACAGGGGAAGGTGGCAGTGGCGGCAGTGGGAAGAGGATTCCTAGCGAGGGATGAGCTTGTGCAGAGGCTCAGCACCAGTAGAGAGCAGTGCATATTTGAAGAACTGAAACTGAATGTAGCTAAGTGGAAAGTATAAAAAAGGGGAGGAAAAGATACAGGCGGGAGACACATCAGACAGGGCTTTCGTAAGAAAAGCCAAGGTGTCCTTGAGCTCAATCCTGATAGCCATAGGGAGACGGGGAATGACGAGATCAGATCTGCACTTTTGAAAGATCACTCTCTCTGACTGCTGTGGAGAACAGGTATGCAAGACTGGATGCAGAGAGACAAAAAGTTGCAGAATAGCCCAAGTGAGAGATGATGGGGAACTGCATATGGGAAGTAGCGGTGGGAATGGAGAGAGGCAGATGCATCTTAAACATTTAATGTATTTAAAAGTAGACTTGGCAGGACTTTATGACTGACCAGATGAAAGAGGAGCCATGACTCTGGCTTGGGCAACTAGATAGATGGTAGTTCATTCCCTGTATAGTATAACAGAAGAGCAGGTTTATAGGGAAGGGGAGGAGGATGAATGTAGTTTGAGATCACTATAAACTATCCATGATGCTGTTCTGTTGGCAGTTGAATGTATGATTCTGAAACCCAAAATAAGATCCACCTTGGAGATATGGATTTGGAGAGTATCAGCCTGAGGTCCTATGAGTAAGACCTCCCAGGAAGCTGTGACCCAACCAGATGGAACATTAACATGAAGGGGTAGGGTGGAAGAAGAGAAACCCATAGGAAAGACTGAGAGATGTCAGAGGAAAAAAAGAAAACCAGAAGAGATCGCTGACGTGGAAGTCAAGAGAAGAGAACCCATTAAGGAGGGCTGGTCTCAGTGTCAAATTACTGAGGAGCAAAGTAAGTCAAGGGTTGAGCAATATTCATTGGATTTAGCTACAAGGAAGGTGTCTGTGACCTTGACAACTGCATTTTCAAGGAGTGAGAGAAGTAGAAGCCAAGCTTCAGAGGTTTGAGGATGAAGAAGTGGAGACCTGGAAAAGTCATATAGTTTGGTTATGGAGGGGAGGAGATGGAGAGGGAGAAGCCAAGGAGAGAAGGGAGGGAAGGGAGTAAATAGGGAATAGAGGAGAGGCAAGAAGGGGAGAGGAGGAGAAGGGAGAAAACTGGACAGAGATGCAAGGTTGAAGGAAAGATTTTTGTGTGTTTGCTTTGCAGATTAGAGCTACTTAAGGATGTTTGAAGGCTGAAAGGAAGGAGCCTTTGGAGGAGGGGAGGAGGATAACGGATAGAGCATAGGATGGAGGAGATTGGATCCGTAGCACATGGGAAGAATTAGCCTGAGACAAGCTAATTTCATTGTAACTGGAGAAAAGGGAAAAAAACCAACGGTGTGGATATAAGCAATGTTGGAGGTGGGCAACTGAGGGGGGAAGTTCTTATCTAATGGTTTCTTGTATCTTCCCTCTGAAATAAGCAGAGAGGGAAATAGGTGAAGAAAGAATGAAAATTTGAGGAGCATGAAGGAGGTTTGAAGTGGCTACTGGAGAGAATTGGAGACACTGCTGGGCAGCACTGAGGACCCAGGTGAGGGTGGAGAATATACCAGATATTGGCAACGATCTGCCTAGTCATGTGATTTGACTGACCATCAGCATTTGAACCCCCAGTATTGATGTGGGGAGGCAGTTATTGGTCCAATATTGTTACATAGTTATGTTTGGTTGCAAGTGACAGAAAAAAAAAACATGAAAGAAGTCAATTGCCCTCTTACATAAAAATCCAGGTAGACTAATAAGGCTAGAATAGAGCACCAGTGTGTCAGGAATCAAAATTCCTTCGAGTGCCTTACTTTGTCATCAGGGTTTGGCTTCCATGTCATGTTCTAACATGGTTACTCCAGCTCCATCCATTTTGTTTGCATTTTGGTCAGCAGGAAGAAGGCAGGACCAGCAGAAGGGCATATGCCACTTCTACCTAAATCCATTGACCATAGCTTGGTCCTTTGACACATCTAGCTGGAAGGAGGCCGAACATTTTAGTCTTTATTATGGATGGTCATGTGACCAGTTACATTTTAAATTTTAAAATTTGAGCCCAGACCTTGGGAGATACTAAGAATCACTGCCACAATAGGGTTTACCTGGGTAGGTACAACAGAATGGGGCTAGGAAGTAAATGATATTGTCAAGAGGGATTTAAGTAGACAGAAGGGAGCCAATAAAGATGAGGAAGGAGCTGAGTGATCTGGTCATTTTTGTTCAGGTATCTCTTCACCCTAGTGTGGTTTATGTATTTTCACACTTCAGAGGAAAGTAAACCCCCAACTTCAGGGTGATGTGCCCTGATTGTCTCAGCCAGTATGTCTTGGCGGGGCACTATTGGCATTTGAGGCAGGCCAATTCTTCATTGTACAGGACTGTCCTGTACATTGCAAGACATTCGAAGCTCCTAGCTCCCACCCACTAAATGCCAGTGATACCCCAGTCATAACAACATGTTTCAATAATCTTAAGGAGGTGTTACTGCTCACAGTTGAGGACCATTGGTCTAAATTAATCATGGTAATCCCCTCTCCCTTGATTGGCTCAAGGGTGGACAATTTAAACCTTAGTGAAGTAGCACATGGCTATCTCCTAGTCACCATGATTGGTTCATGCTATTCCAATTAATGGAAGGTTAAGATTTTTGTTTGATGCTTATAGACTCACTCCCTCTCAGTCCCTCTGGACATAATGAGGAAGTATGTGGGCCCAATTGCTGCTGACATCCAGCCTATAAACACTAGGAGAGTCAGTCCCAGAATAAAGCAACGCTGAGGGTTGGTTGAGTGGAGAGATGGAAAGAAACAGAGACCATAGTAATTCTGAACTGCAGCCAACCGAAGGCCCTTGCCACTGCTGAATTTTCAGCCCCTTGAGTCAATAAATGCCCTTAATGTTCAAACCAGTTAGACTTGAGCTGCCTGTTACTTGCAAATGAAAACACATTTAATAAAAGAAGGAAGTAGAGGAAGATTGGGTCACAGGAGTAAAAGTATAGGGAAGGATGTAAATGAGAGTAAAGGATGTGATAGATGAATGGAGGGGCTTAAGCCTTGGGTAGAAACCAAGGAAAACAGGGAGAAGAGGCATGCTGAGTTTGGCTGGATGTAAGATTTTATCAAAATTAATCTCTCTTCTCTTGGACTGGGGATTGAGGGTAATCAGAACAGTTCTAGCATTGTGCTAGGTTGACCCAATGAGGCTTATATTAACTCTAATGTGTAGAAGAAGAAACTCAAGACTCACCCAAGGACCTAAAGCTAGTAGCTGGCAGAGGGAAGTCCTAGTGAGATTGACTCCAGTACTCAAGTTCTTTCCGCTAATTCCCCACTGCTACTTGATGCCGAAGAGGTGGAAACAACCAGATCTACCCCTCGTTAATCCTTTCCACACCTCAATCCAGGACGGCAGGTAAGACTGACTGGGTCAGTAGGACTGTTTTCCCCTGGATAATGAACGGTCTACCCACAGGATGTACTGTGTTTGGGGTACAAAGCACAGATGGGTCATGGGCAAGCTGGAGTGGCAAGAGAGCTTACAAAACCAACACCAGCACAAATGAAAGGAATAAACCCAGGGTGCACCAAGAAGGAGAAATGGCTCAGAGGTTCCTGGTGAGATGAAAAGTATTGAATGTTAATTGTCGAGCATCGAATATTAGATTCTGTGCATCTGCATTTTTTTCATTTCAGAAACTTATTTTTTTCCCATTTCACTTTATTTTTTGAATAGTTAATGCTTACACATGGTACAAACACAAAAGTTACAAAAGGTATACAGTGAAAAATAAGTCTTTCTCCTCTGTCCTGGAGCTACTGTCCCTGGAGGCAACCAGTGTTGACAGAATCAAGCCCTGCCCTCTCCCTCACCCCTCCTCTCCTCCGTCATAGGCTGAGGTACATAAGCTGAGTTCTCTTCATTCAGTAAAGATACAGACCTTCCTAATGTAGGAGCCTTGAAATGGACACACTAAATAAATCAGATTTACAAAAATATATATGGTAACTTTATTGTCTATAACGACTTCTTGCTAAAAAGCCCCCATTGCTGATATAGGTGGAAAACACTTGATCTTGCAAATAAAAGATATCTCCTTTAGGTTTAAACCAGTCTCCCTTGGGAAATCACTCAGTCTTTCGGGGTTTCTCCCTCATCGCAGGGTTCTCCTCTCCCTGTTCCCTCTCCAAAAATATTGCCCAGGTGAAAGGCACGCTACAGGGGAGGTGCAGGGGAAGTCTGCCAACCGCCAGGCCTTCCTGACCACGAGGCCATGGTGAGGAAATTGTTTTTTTCTGGCCTTTGGGCTACACTGATTCCAGCTACTGACAGCCACGGTCCCCACCACGGCCCTCAGTGGTGATGGCCGCACACCTTGTACCTTCTTGGCCCAAGGCCAGGCCTCCTCCAGCCCATTCATCCTGTCAGCCTTCGTCATTCTCCCACGGGCTCTGCTGCAGACCATGCACAGGCCCGGGAACTGGGAGCACTTCTCAAGGCCCCTCGTTGCCCAACCCTAGCATTTCCGCTTCTCTGTAGTTGGCCTAGTTCCAAAGGGAAAAGCAGGGTACACATCCCTCCTGCCGTAGGGCCCCTCCACCCCTCATCTGGGGCAGCCCTGTGTGCACACCCTCTGACTCTCACAACTTCCTGCCTGCTGCTTTAACGTTTATCTTCCTTTCCAGTCATGGGAAAACGGCTCTGACATCACATCCTGTGTTCTTCCTGGCACTGTCTGTGACCTCCTCAGGGGCAGCCCTCCAAGCTCTGCCTCATCTGTGTATGCAAATACATTCTTTTTTTTTTCAACAAAGTCTGGCTTTTACGAATCAAAGGCAGTTAATTTCAAACTATTGTCTTGCTATGAATTTTTTTTTCAATCCTATTTTGAAACTCAAAGTAAATGATGACTTACCCATTCTTGGCTGGGTTTTTTCCTCCCCGGGACTCAAAGCATGTCATTGACTCATTGGGTGGAGGATCCATGGGGACTGGGTTTACCGGGAAACACGCTGGTTGAATATCTCACAATGTTATCTCCATGACATCAGCATAAGGCTTCCAGTGCTGCGGGGAAGCCAGTGTCAGTGTGGTAAATGTTACTAAGTTTTCAGCTGTGACTTGGGTAAACCCACTTGATGCAAAAACTTCATGGTCCTCAAAGTGAACAGAAACCTGATTCTACCGTTACCCACCCAATTAGGCAGTGCAATCCTGAGTCATTCTGGATTCCTCTCTTTTCTTCACACTCCATATATCACCCATCTGCTATTCAGAACCACCAAAGGGAATGGGAGACTTTTTCTAATTGTCACAAAAGCACTGTGTGGGCCAGCTGTGGCCTTGCTGCTGAAACCCTCAGCCTGGCTGCCAGCATCTGTCATTGGACTTCTGCCATTGTCTCCTCCGTGGTCTCCCGCTTCTATGTCCGACCTCCTACAATCTATTCTCCACAAAGCAGCCAGACTTTTCTTTTTAAAATATAAATTAGATCCTATCACTTCCCAGCTTCCCTGCTTTAAATCCTCCAATAGCTTCCTATCACTCTGACCTGACTCTGCCTCCCTCTTCAGCCTCATCTTCCAAGCCTTCCCTCTTACTCCACTAGAGCCACACTGCCCACCTTTCTGCTCTCAAATACACCAGGCTCATTTTGACCCCAGGTCCTTTGCACTTACTGTTTCTTTGCTAGCAGGGCTCTTCCCTAGATTGTCGCACTACTGCCTCCTTCTCAGCCTTCAGATCTCAACTCAGATGTCACCACGCGGCCACATCCCACCCCAGGTACCATCGACCATATTACCCTATTTTATCTTCTTCATAGCCCTTAGTTCCTGAAATTGTATTATTTGTTTAAATGTTTGTTACCTCTCTCCCCCTTACTTGGAGGGTAACCACCTTGGACAGGGACTTGGTTTGCCTTCTTCAGCACTGTATTTTTGCATTAAACAGTGCCTGGCACATAATAAGCAGTAAATATGTGTGGACCAAAGCCAACTAAGTTCATGCAGAGGGGAAAAGGAGAAAGACAATATTTTTAAACTTGACAAGCACTCATGGATACCTTTTTATTAGTTTACAATTTAGAAGAAATCATTTCTACTAGTTTCTTTGTAAGGGAATCATAAGATTAATGTGCCTTTCTAGTGAAAAACTTGGCTGCAAGACAGAACTAGCATCTATATTTATGCCACAGAAAAGCAGCTTTTTCAAATAATCAAGTCAGATCAAGGTATAAATTGTTAGCCTCATTTGCCAGGTACAAAATTTGAATGATTGCATGTGTGTTGCTGTGTGCTTAACCTGCTACAGATCACCTGCAATTTTAAGGTTCCCTGATTGCTAAAAGTTGTTTACTTGATTTCTTTCATTTAAGTGTAGCTGAAGCTGCAGGGCTGATCAGAGGCAAGATGTAAAAAGAGAGGTAACATTAGTGATTTTTCAGGCACACTATAAGACAATTACCCACAATCTTTAGGTATTTCTTGTACTTTCAAAACTAAACGCTAAGCTCTCCTTGACTTGGGCTAAATTTTTTTTGAATAACTGATACCCTGGAAAGTCCTGAACAGTTGCACAAACACTGAAGCAGGGACTTTAAAACTCAGCCCTGTGTGACATGTTTTAGAACAAAGATGTAGGAAAATTAGGCCTCATCTTGCTCAGAATAGATGAGGTCAAACATACTTCCCCATTCCTGGTGTCGCAGAGTCTGAAATTTCTGTCATGAGAGCTTCATTTTTTTATCCTGGAGTTCTCTTTTAAAATGCATATTTTCCTGGAAATATATTAGACTAATTCATGAAGATATTGAAACTAATTAGGTCCATTTTTCCTTTCGGTGGGAGAGATTACCAGCAAGAGTGCCCTGAACAAGAAGGAAAGAGATGAATTGGGAGAGACTAGAAGCCCCAGCTCTGGCTTTTCTGAACCTAGACTTGGCCCAGTACAGTACACTAGTTGTTGAAGTTCTTTGGATAATAATATTGTGGGGCAAATGATTTTAAGAGTGAGTATTGTGATGTGTTACTTAATCTAAGAAAATGGATTTTTTAAACTTCAAGTGTTGCTATGCAATACGAATTTTGATGAATTTTTTCCAGTTAGGGTCCCAACAGGAAACAGATGGTACACTTAAATTAGGATAAGTTGAGAAGAGCTTCTTTTCAAAGAGACTATTTGTAAGGTTGTTGGGGGTGTAATGTAAACCCAAGGGACAGTCTGGGAACTAGGGGTTAAAAGAAACAGAGTGGTTGACACCCTGGGACCCTAAGGGAGTGATTATCAGCATCTGGAAAGGGAGTGTTATTAGGAGCAGACCACAGTAAGAGGAGCAGTGACCTTGACCCAAGCCAACCAAAGGCAGTCTCACTAGGAAAAAGCTAAGGGATGAATACCTTGACCTTCTCTGGTCTTCTGCAAGGGCTCCCCATTGGCCAAAGCCAACTGGAAGCCAAAGAGAAAGAGAACACATTCATGCAGGGCCAGCCTCCTGGGCAGAGAGGAAGGTAGAAAACGGTGGAGAGTGGATCTCAGGAACAGTATAATGATATTTCCATTTGCTTGACAAGAAGGCTTGAGCAAGAGCCATCCAATATCCCTCCCCCTTCCCACTGCAAGCTTTAAGAGTGAAGATGTCTTGGGCTTGCGGAGAGGAAAAGGTGTGTTCTTAACATCAGCTTTGGAGTTTTGATTAATATCTTACACTTATCTAATTTCTGTATCAAGACTGTTTATAACTGAAGTTGAAAGTCTATGATGCCAGAGTGGCCAGAAAATTTAAGGGCCTGCCACAATTTTCAGCCTAGGGCAGAGAAAGATGACCTCTCTTCCCCCTCACAATCTGACCTTATATATGTGTAAAGGAACAGTGGGGGCAAAAATAAATATATAAGGTTGCTTTTCGATTAGGTCAGAGAATTGTGCTTATTCAACATACCACTTATGTAATCTTTACCAACTTTCTCACATTACAAGTAATGAAACTAAATTCCAGAGAGCTTGATTCACATGCCCTGTTTTAGGAAGCCATTCCACGCCCAAATCTAAACTAGTAGTATGAATCGAGACATCTATATGATATGCAGCTATAGGCTTACATAAGCAATTAGCACTGGGGCAAATTTCAAACAAGGCCAAAGACATTGACTAGCTATCTTTGCTCTGTCCCTTGGCTGCACAGATTACCTTTAGGTAGCTCAGTATATGGTGAGTGGGGAAGTCTCACTGGACAACCTAGGCTTCCGTGGTACAATGATTTGTACATCTGCTCTGCTCTACATCACAGGTTTAGACCTTTGATTTGTGATTCAGAAACTCAGTTTCATCTGTTCACCCAAGAATAATCAGGTCCTGATGAACTGATATATTTATCAGCCTCACAACAGATTTACTGGTAAATCAAAATGTTCATTGAATTACCCTGAGAAATGTTACTATCAAAAAGACAAGATTGGTGTCAGCTGGTCAACAGTCTATGGCTGAATTGTTTAGAGAAAGAATACAGACAAATCAGACACTCACATTCATTCTCAAGAAAATAACTCACAGTAAAAATCTCACTGACAGCGGGCCAAAGACATAAACATCACATGTAAATGGCAACACATAACATTAATAAATTGCTTTACTGATGATATGCCCTGCATTTTTGCAAATTCCTAGATGTTTTTGATGTGTATATACCACAGTGTGGTGAGTTGGCATTGTAAAGCTTTGATTAGCCAGAACTTAATTAGAACCTTAAATTTAAAAGAATTTCTTTTGATGCATGTTCCAGTTACCAGTTTATTTCTTCTCAGCTCAAATCCACCCTTTACTACCCTGCTTTGTGATGCTGGAGTTGGACCCTGTGAATATTTCTCCTTTGCAGCTGGCATGATGCCTTGTCAGTAAAGAGCACGGGAGGGCCACTGCAGGAGGAAAGTACTTCTCTTCTTTGTTCTGATGTGGTTTTCCTTCTCCTGTAGTGCATGGCAGCCACTGGGTACCAGAATCCTGACCACACTCAACCACCCAGCACGTCTCACAGGCACTCCGCGAGGTGATTTCTTCCCCATCCTGACTTGCAGCACCTCAGTGAATTTCTCTACCACCCAATGGATGACAGCTACACCCTCTTCAGTGAGATCAGAATCTCAGCCTTGAGGGGAGAAAGGGCTCTTCCAAATATGTCCCTTCCTTGGGTGTTTGGCCTTAGTCCTAGGGCAAGCGTTCTCAGTGGGGGTAAAAACTGGTTCTTGGCGGGGGGAGGTGTGAAATAATCTTAGGTATTACAATGGTTTATGGCCCTGAAAAAGGCCACAGCACATAAACAGATACACAGTATATCTGCAGTGTTAAAATTTCATGGAGGGGAGCCTTAAGGGGGGAAAATGTCTAAAAAAATCTCCTTAGGGGAGCAATAATGAAAAAAGAAGTTCAGTAACACTGCCTTAGAAAGTACTGCTCCCCATATAGACTATTCCTGTATTCTTTAGAGTTCTGTTTACTCCTTAGTAATTAATCCCACTTTCAGTTAATATACTTTATATTAAACTTCCCCTGTTCAGATTACTTTGTGGTATAGGGACCACTGCAATGGAATTATACAGTAAGGGAGATAGACTGGGCTCAACTCCAAATAGAGCATGGGTAAGTGAGCAGGGGTGGAGAGGTCAGTGAATGGAAAATTATTAAGAGGAAAATCAGCAGTAAGCGGCATTCTGGCTAAATCAAACTAACAAGATTTTTGCTGAAGATAGACCTGGGTGATCAGACATCACCTGAGGGATGGTAGAGGATGAGGAACCTGATCAGATATCAAGGGTGATCAGATATCGAGGGTGGAGGGTTCTGGTTAAACTGACTTAGCGGGGTTCTTGCTAAAGCTGGATTTCACAAGGAAGTGCAGAGAAGAGATGGGCCTAGGAGAAGGTTCAGGAGCCTGACTAAAGTTTGGTGAAGTAAAGAATCTTTGTCAAAACATTGACAAATGAACTATCTATGAAACAGAAACAGACTCACAGACAGAACAGACTTGTGGTTGCCAAGGGGGAAGGGAGATGGGGGAAGGAAGGGTTGGGAGTTTGGGATTAGTAGATGCGAACTATTATATATAGACTAGATAAACAACAAGGTCCTAATGTATAGCACAGGGAACTATGTTCAATATCCTGTGATAAACCATAATGGAAAAGAATATGAAAAAGAATATGTATATGAATAACTGAGTCACTTTGCTATACAGCAGAAATTAATACAACATTGTAAATCAACTATACTTCAATAAAATAAAAAAGATCTGGACTGAGAAAAAAAAAAAAAACATTGACAAAGAGTAAAAATAGCCATTTCTCACAAGTGGAAACCCAAATGGCTAAGAAGGGTTGAAGAGAAGTTCAGTGTCACCAGTAAACACAGAAATGCATATTAAGACTTTTTAAGATACCACCTACACACAGATTTGTAAAAATTAGAAAGCTGGAAAATGATTTGGCATTCTCGGCAAAGAGAAAACAAGGACCCTCGTGTGCTGCTGGTGGGATGGTAAATAGATACAGGTATTCTAGAGAGCACTCTGGCAGTATTTAATTGTGTGTGTGTGTGCTTGCACACATTCACATGCACACATGCAACCTATGACTCGGGAATTACTCTCTGCACAGGTTCATAAGGAGATGTGTATAAAGATGTTTAACACAGGGTTGTTTGCGATACAGGGGAGTTAGAGGCAGTCCAGGTGTCCTGTCACTAGGGGGATGGACATGTTAAAGGTATCTGACACATGCTATGGAACCTTATGTAGCAGTTCAAAGAAATTAGCTACATGTGCATAAAGGAACATGGAAAGAACTTAAAAACAGCACTGCATTAAAAAAAATCAGTAAACAGAAATGATCCATTGAACAATACAGAATTAAAACACATTCATAAAACAATATTATATTAAAAACTTGGGGCTCTGTGCATATCCAAGCACATATTAAATATATCAGAGTGGCTGCTGATGCTGGAGATGAAAGGGCAAAATAATAAAGTAGAAGAAGAAAATGATAAAATGAAACAAGAAAAGACCTTGCATGGATGAATGATCATGTACCATCTTGAACTGAGGAGGGTGATTAACTCAAGTCTTTGCACTTAAAGTCCAAAAGAAGAAAAAAAAGGAAAGATGTAAACCCTATCTTTCCTGAAGTTTTTTCATTCCACAAATGAGATGTGATGCCTGCCTTTTGAGATAATCCATGTGAAGCGCTGTGTGAGTAGCTCATCCATTTAACCACACTTGAGCAAAGCACACAACAGTGGAAAGCCAGAGGATGGGAATAAAATAGAGTGGAGGATACACCTGTAAACTGAACTCTGTAAACCAAAGCCTAAATGCAGCCTTCTTTATGAAACCAGAAGTGCAGTGTGGAACCAAGAATGAACATATCGTTCTGTGGTATCAGATCAGTGACCCTAGCCTTGTTACTTCATAAGCAAAAAGAAAAATTATTTGAAATAATATCTTACTATGAAAATCAGAGGAGACAAACAGGTAGCTCCAAGACATCTGCAAAGACAATTTAGTTGGCAGAGGTGGATTGTTTGGCATCCATCAGGGTGTATAAAATGCATGGTATTCATATGTTTATGTACATAATTTTTTTAAGTGAATTGATCTCAGGATTCTGTTTTTTTTCAGAATACCTTCAATCAAACAGGAAACACAAAAGAGCCTGGTCCGATTCCAGGACTCTTCCTTTTTAAGGCTGCCAGGTCTATCCTCTTGCAGGGAATGAGAGCGGACAAGGCTGAATATTTCTCTGTGTTTCTGAAAAGCGCTTGGCTCACCGAGTCCTTGCAGCTGCGTACACCACCTGTGGAATGAATCTGTTGCCCTTTTTCAGTTCATTCTTTCTTATCTCCAACTGCCTGCTTAGACGGATGATTGCTGGGAATTCACATGTCTTTTGTTTTTCCTTAGCTTTAAACCTATAGCCACCTAACTTAAATTACACTCTAAAGTTAGCAGTAATGCTTTTAAATGGAAGCCTCAGAGGTGGGGGAGTGAGGGAATAAGGAGTAAATTCTTGATTCTCTGCTGCTACATTATCACTTGATCCTCTAAATTATCTTTTATATTTAAAAGTTTTTTATTAGGCCATTAAAGTGAATGATCTATAAACTGTATTCAATCAGAATTCTTAGATATTTGAAAACGTTTTTGGCTACCATTTCATTTGGCTATTATTTCACAGTAGACTCACACTACAGGTTTAACTAAAAGTGTAAAGATATCCTTTAGCAGCATACCAAATTTCGTTAAAGAAAATTAAAATGCATACACACTTAAAAGAACACCACTTTTTTTTTAAACATGTTTATTGGAGTATAATTGCTTTACAATGGTGTGTTAAAAGTGGGTAAAGACATGCTTTCAAAGTAAAACTATCACAAAGTCTGAATTTTATTGGAGAAAAGAACTATAGCAAGTACGGGCCAGTTCTCAACCTCTTTTTTCCCCTTTGCCTTCCCTGCAGTTTCAGCACTCCTACATAATGAGCCTCACCTGGGAAGGACAGACATCTATGCCACAGTTTGAAAAGATCCCTTTTCTCTTTCCTCACACCACGTTTATTAGTTTTCAAAGACCATATGGTGCTAATTGATGATAAAAGTAACAGCGTGAATCACAGGCTGTTTTATGGACCAGTCCCTACTTCATCTTCAACGGGATGACATAAAGCAGGCATCCATGGGGCCACTGACATAAAACAACCCCGAGTCCCCACCTGCAGAGAGGCAGTGAGTACCCAAACACTGTTTATTGATGTTTTTAACCTTATAATTAAATTCCATGCTTCCTCGGCTATTGGTTAAAGTATTATTTATCATTCAATTTAAAGTTTTTTATTGGCTAGTATTAAAGTATTTGCTATATTATCAAAAGCTTAAAATATTGTTAACCAATTAACCAGTTTCATGATGTAGTATCTGGATTTGATTTTGTTAAATGTTATTACACATATTCATGTAGAAAAGTTACAAAATAGAGCAAACATTTTGAAGAAAAAGGAGGAAAGGGCAAAAAGAGGAAATATTTTTCATAATTGTACCAACCTAGAGAAAACAGCATTTTCCCATATATACTTCCAGTCTTAAATAAGAATATTTTTGTCTTAAACAAGAATATCTTACTTCAAAATTTTCACCCAAATAGGCTTGATTTCTACAAAGGTGAGCTTCTGAGAAACCAACTTACTTTGTGCAGACAGCCGATTCTGCTTTGCGGCGGCGGGGGGAGAAGGAAATGGCTCACATCCTGACAAACAGGGCATCATTGTTACTCTATCAGAATTGGCATAAAAGCCTTCTTCAGCCAGAAAGACAAGTATGTGACAGAGAATCCAAAGAGTTGGCCCGGTTTAAGGGGAAAGTGGCTTAAAAGCAGATTTTATTCACATACAGAGTGTGCTAGGCATTCCCCACGTCTTCTCTCTAATTATTACAACCCAGAAAAACATGGGTTTGAGTTCCAGCTGTTCCTTACAAGCCAGGTAACTACAGATAAGTTAGAAGTCAAGGTTTTTTTTGCAAAGACCAATGAGTTACTACAACAGAGCTCTTAGTGCCTGGCCAGCATTAAGGTTTCCACAAATGTAGGCTGCAGTGTTGTTATGGTCGTGGATTGCCTTCAGAATTATATGAAATACTCCATTTGAAACTCCTGCTGCACTGAGGTATTATGATTACAATACTTAGTATTACAAGGAGGGCTTGTTCTTAACCGCATGCCTTTTCACTTGGCGGCACTCCCCAGTTTTTTTCTCTAGTCCAGCGCTGACTAGTAGGACTTTCTGTGACCATGGAAATGGTCAATAATCTGTGCTATCCAATATGGTAGCCATTAGCCAGAGATGGGTATTGAGCTCTTGAAATGTGGCTAGTGCAGCTGAGGAATTGAATTTTTGCTTTAATTTTAATTAATTTAAATAATCACAGCTAGTTTCTTGATATCTGAATGTTCCTACCCCATCTCATCACAGTAATTACCTTTAGTCACAAAGCAAATCCATTTGTAAGTACTTTAGTAAATGTCTCCTTATTCACACTGTTTTGAATTACATCATTTTTTACATAAAACCTTTTTAAATTGAAATATAGTTGACATAGTTCCTTCTTGATAAATGATAAAATACAATCATACCATTAAGAAAGTAGAAACGAACTGGATATATATCCAGCGTCAAGCTTCTCAGCCAAGTCTGGCTCTCCATTAAGCACTTTGCAAACTTGAAGGAGAATAACTTAATAACCGTTTCAAAAAAACATTTGGCAGTTTAGATGTTTCTTTACAGATCTGGAATGAAAAAGGGATACTTCTGCTATCAAACACCCTTCCTCACTGTATAGAGCAGAGTCTTCTTGATCTGCTCTGATTCTATACCTTTAGGTCAGTTCTTTACCTCCCTGTGGCCTCTTGCTCAGAGCCCCTTTCTGAGCCTCAGGCTGATGCCTTCACCCACACCTGTTGGTGTGGAGTCTGAACTTGACCAGGCTCCCCAAGGGCAGCCACTGAGTAACTCAGAGTCAGTGACTAAGCGGCTGGGTCCTGGAAGTGAGCCCACATCCCCTTTTCTGGGTTCCAGGGTTCCTGCACCTCTTCCCTCTGTTATAAAGCCAGTCTTAACTTCAGGCCCTAGATGAATCACCTTACACTTATATCAAAGAAAAGCTATAAAACCAAAAACAATTTTGCCTTAGGTAAGACTAGCTCTTCCTTCTCTCCCAGGGAAAGGCTGCCACCTGCTGTAATACATTAGCATTGGGCTTTTCCAAGGTCACTGAACAACCACTTGCACGTACAAAATAATGCAAAACCCCACCTGCCTTCACCTCTGTGTGTCAGGAGTGTAAATAGGAGGGCAAACCAGGAAGCATTCCTCTTAATTCCTTGACATAGGGCAAAGAAGCAAACCTATCCGTATGAATGGTGCCCAGAAGGAATTGGCATCACTCTAACTCTGAATATGAGAGCATTCTTTCTTCACCATTCAGCAACACTGTTTTTCAAATTAGCTCATAGTAAGCTTCATAAAATCTCTGCTGTTAAAAGGCTTATCACTTACTCAGTTCTTCTAGTTCTGTGTATATTTATCTATTCTTCACAGCCCTGGCAAGTCTTTGGTAGGTGAAAGGATGAGAGAAGAATAAAAATTGTTAGTTTGCAGGACAGCATCCCTGAGCCTTGCACTCTCTCTGCAAAAAAAATCCCCAAGCTCCCTTTCCCCCACTCCCACCCCAACGCCATTCATCACCCACTAGCTGTGGTAGTCTACCTAAACACACACACACACACACACACACTCCCACTCCCCTCCCTAAATTATGCCTTTGTACCTGAGAAGTTACCAAACTTAAAGAATTACATAGGGATTCCAACACTGAGTAAACTCAAATATAAATAAGATGATATTTACAACTAAAAACCCAATATCCATAAAGTTTGCAATATGAGAAAAATAGAACCCCAAACGAATAACTTTTAAGCAAAAATAGCTGAAAGAAAAATACCTTGGTGCCTGGGTTTAGCTTTGTAGAATCCATGTCATTGACAACACTGATACGGATGTAAAATGTCTGCATAACATTTGCCAGCCTCTTCAGGAAACTGTTATTTTCCTCACTGTAAATCAGGAGAGCTCTAGATTACCTCCTCGACATCTCCTGCCTGCATTTACAGACAGGAAGAAGCAGGCTATGGAGGCAGGAAAGGACAGAAATGTTTTTGTTGGTGTAAGAGAAGGCTTTTTAAAAGTTGCATCAGTAGTCAAAGAAATGAACCTTTATAGTATTTGATGCTGCTACAAGTGTGTGTGAGTGTGTGTGTAGTTTTTTAATAAGCTTTTTACGGCAACATTTTATTTACGGTAATATTATAACAATACACCTCCCTAGCTTTTATTTCAGTTTTTTGCTTCTACAGTTTTTTAATCCTCTTTTAAATTCCTTTTGCACACAATTTTGTAATCTACACAGCATTTTTAATGTCTTGAACTATTACTTTGAGTTGTTATATCAAAATGTACACAATTATTCCCCAGTTGTTGAAGATTTAGTTTCCAAGTTTTTCGTTTTAGTTAATACTGAAATAAATATCTTTGCAGAAAGTGCTTTTTTCCTTCTTTTAAGTTAATTCACCTCTGTTACAGAGAGGGGCATGTAGTAAATGCTCGGCAAATATTTGTTGTATAAGTAAATTATTTGTAATATGTTATCAGGAATGAGAATATGAGATCAAATATCAAAACAGTGCTGGTGTAAACAAACTTAATTTCTCTTGGTATACATTAAGTAAGTTTCCAAAAGAATTTTTACTTAGTTTCAATGTCATCAGATAAGTTGACCAGCACATCATTTTCATCAATCCATCTTTTAAAATCTTGTTAATTAACAAGAGGTCAAGGCATGACAATAATACTGTTGAAATCAAAGGATATGGAGAGTCTGAATCAATATGGAGCGTGAGTCACGTTTTTAATTGTTTTTAAAGTCTATGCTTAATATAGTTTAATTCTTTAAGTCCTCATTCTAACTTGCAAAGCAGAACATGTAATGGGATCAGTTAACCTCCCAGATTTTAACATCTTAGGCAGTTTGGGTTTATTGACTTTAACCCAAAGGACCAAAGTGAAACAGAATTTGTTATAAGGTGAAGTATGAGCTACAGGGGAAGGACAAGAGGCCATGGATCTTGGCTACTCAGACTGTGGTTCCCAGACCAGCTGCATCAGCATCACCTGGGATGTTAGAAATACAGAAGATGTTAGTAATGCATCACTTGTTAGAAATGCAGAAGCCCAGACCTACTGAATCCAAATCAGCATTTTAACAAGAGCTCCAGGTGATTCTTATGCACATGAAGTGGAGAAGCAGTACTCTTTTTTTTTTTTAACATTTTTATTGGGGTATAATTGCTTTACAATGGTGTGTTAGTTTCTGCTTTATAACAAACTGAATCAGCTATACATATACATATATCCTCATATCTCCTCCCTCTTGCATCTCCCTCCCATCCTGCCTATCCCACCCCTCTAGGTGGTCACAAAGCACCGAGCTGATCTCCCTGTGCTATGTGGCTGCTTCCCACTAGCTATCTATTTTACATTTGGTAGTATATATATGTCCATGCCACTCTCTCACTTTGTCCCAGCTTACCCTTCCCATTCCCCGCATCCTCAAGTCCATTCTCTATGTCTGTGTCTTTATTCCTGTCCTGCCCCTAGGTTCTTCAGAACCTTTTTTTTTTTTTAGATTCCATATATATGTGTTAGCATATGGTATTTGTTTTTCTGTTTCTGACTTACTTCACTCTGTATGACAGACTCTAGGTCCACCTACCTCACTACAAATAACTAAATTTTGTTTCTTTTATGGCTGAGTAATATTCCATTGTATATATGTGCCACATCTTCTTTATCCATTCATCTGTCGATGGACACCTAGGTTGCTTCCATGTCCCGGCTATTGTAAATAGAGCTGCAATGAACATTGTGGTACATGTCTCTTTTTGAATTATGGTTTTCTCAGGGCATATGGCCAGTAGTGGGATTGCTGGGTCGTATGGTAGTTCTATTTTTAGTTTTTTAAGGAACCTCCATACTGTTCTTCATAGTGGCTGTATCAATTTACATTCCTACCAACAGTGCAAGAGGGTTCCCTTTTCTCCACACCCTCTCCAGCATTTGTTGTTTGTAGGATTTTTGATGATGGCCTTTCTGACCGGTGTGAGGTGATACCTCATT